GAGAAGTTGGGAGGACTGAGGCACAGTGGAAAAGTAATGCATTCCTATCACAATTGGCTAGAAGAGAGGCATCAGCCAGGCTGTTTGGTGAAGCTGTTTCCAAGGCTCACACTAGGTGGCCGGAAGACCCACACTCCTGTAGCTTTTTCGCCCATAAAATCATCATCAAGCAGGGGTCAGCTGTTCATCAGGGGCAACTTCCAGATGTTATCTTCCAGAGGTTATCATAACCTTTACTGCCTCCTAATAGAATAAATCTCTCTGAGCTGAAAGTATACTCAATCATGAAGACAAGAAGACTGTACATGCTTGGAGGTTTCGATTTCTAAAGTTTTCTTTGGGCAGGAAGTTGACATGAAATGGCCAACCCACCCACAGCGAGGTGACTTAAGATGCTATAGAGCCTCCCCATTATCCACACGCTTGGCATATACTGCTGACAACAGGCTCTGAAAGAAACTAGGCCTGTCCGCATAGAAGTCAGAGCAAGATTTGATTTCTTAAAAATTACACAATAAATCATTAAATAGTAAAGCATTGTCACATAAGATTAAAGGGTTATACCCGACAATCTCTCTAGATTTGTCATATTGCAGCACTTGCCTGTGCCTTAAATGTACACGGAGCACAAACTGCATCTGAGAAGGAACTCTAGCTCTGCCTGTATTTAGCCATGACCTTCAGCAAATCACTTAACCTGTGTTTTCATGATAGAAATGAAAATGTCCGCTTGAACCCGGGAGATGGAGGCTGCAGTGAGCCAAGTTCGCACCACTGCACTCCAGCCTGGCAACAGAGTGAGACTCCATCTCAAAAAAAAAAAAAAAAGCAATGAAAATGTTTTATGAAATACAACACTAGACATAAAAGTCTGTGGAGGGGAGTTTGATTATGCCACTCTGTCAACCTTCTCACTCTTCCTCGTAAAGAACTTATCCATCTTCAAAGCTGACTCAGATGTTATTATGGTAACACTTAACCATATGGGTTGGGGTGTTTGTGTAACTGTCACATCTGCCCAAGGCTCTTCATGTTATTCTTGGTGCCTGGACCAATGTGACCCGGAGAAGTGCTAAATTAAATATTAGTTGAAAAAATGGTATCAGCCTAGGTTGGGACAAATGAAAGCGACAAGTCAAGTCGATTAGTTGAATATGAATTCTACTAGGGACATAGAGGAACTGCACCTTATCTGTGGATTGCAAGGCTTGAATTATTAACAATTCTGGGTTCACTGCACACATGCTGTAGAAAGCTACAGAATCTTTGCTTTGACTACTATGTACTTTGCCTCACATAATAAATCATGTTTTTTTCAGCTTTCATCAGTTAATGTGGGATGGCCTTAACATCTCTCTGTTGGGCACTGAGTATAACCTCAAGAATAGCAGAGAAAGTCCCACTCTGAGCTTAACGATATGATTTATACCAGGTGGCAATAAAGGACAATCGTTGAATTTATTTTCTAATCCCTTGTGACACCTTTTGTAAAGAAATTATACTACAAAACATTTTATAGTTTTGTAAATATTAAATTCCTTGCCAAGCTGTATTCACATTATACTTGGAGTAACAGTTTGGGGTTATTTACGTGTTTTAAGTGGAGTATAAAGAAGTGTGGTGGTTATTGTATACACGTGCATCTTCATCATAGGAACGAGGAATGTGCTGGCCCTTCCCAGCAGCAAGGCAGAGGCCCCTGGCCTGCCTCGACTCATTCCGCGTCTAACTCTGACAGACTATCCAGCAATAGTGAGAAGAAAGCCCCAAAACTCAAAAGCACAATGAATCACTGCAGTTCCAGAACAGCCCAGAGGCAGCAACCCAGGGAAGGGAGCCATTCTGAACTATGAGTTCCCCCAAGCCTGAACTTGTCCTTGGAGCTTCACTCCCTTGCTATTGTTGACCCATTCTGAGAGGACTGGGGTCTCCTGACGATGCCCTGGGGCCCGCTCTTCCTCAGTGCTGAAGGAGATCCTGGTAGCCCTCTACGAAGCAGTGGTCTCCAAGTGCTACGCACTGAGCCGACAGAAAGCTGCTTCCCAAGCTTTGTGCAGAGGAATCATCAGAGGCATCTTGTTAAGAGGCAGGGGCTGATTCAGCAGGGCCAGGGTGCTTTGAGATTCTGCATGTCTGATCTACACAACACTTTGTAGTGTTTTGAACACAGTGCTTTGAACACTATGTAGCTGAAGGACTGTATCTCAACATTTCTGCACATTAGAATCACCTGGGAGGCTTCCTCGCTCCATAGAGGTGCCCACACCTCACTCCTAATTAAATCCAGACTAGGGATGCGGGGTGCTGGAGCTCAGGCATCAGTATTTTTCTTTTCTTTCTTTTCTCTTTTTTTTTTTTTTTT